CCCCCACGTGTGATGATGTATTTCAGGGCCAGAGTTTTCTCAAGATGTTCCAAGCCTGCAGGCTCCTGATCCTTTTTCAAATTACGAAGATGATAGTATCCCAGTGAGAGCTGTGATTAGTCTAAACTCTCCACAGCTGTGAGAGATGAATGTACAAATTCCAATAAAGATTCTGCGTGTTCTGGACTGAATTTACCTACATGACATTGGGGCCTAACTCAGGGAGTACTTAAAAAGAATCAGAGCTGCCTCAGTGCTATTCCACTTCTTCCATAGGATCAGCTGCTGGGAGGCTGGAAACTGTTCTGGGAGGATGCCTCCCCTCACACCACTGTCACTACTCAACAGTGGGTATTTATTTAGAAGGTCTGCGATGTGTGCAGAGAGAAGCAGCGCTGGAGAAATTAAACCCAAGTACCTGAGAATTCAAAGAGGCCTTGTAATTCATTATGTGAACAGCCAGGAGGATTATCAAACAACTTCTAATTGCAGGGTTTGGCCTGGAGCTATGTGGGACAATAATACCAGCTGTATCACCACCTCTAACTCCTTTAGAATGGTGCTAGCTAGAAGGAAGGCTCAGAGCATTCTTCAGTTACTTGGAAGAGCCAACAGGGCTTTGTTTTCTTATTTTGGATACCTTTTCCCTAAAATACTTCCTTGGTATACTAAGTAAATGTACTCATACATGGCATGACCCTTTTTACCATGTTTAATGATTGTATCATCTGAAGATACTTTGGTTTAACTCCGTTATGAAACATCTGATGCTCAGCATGCTTTCCAAGACTGGTAAAGACTTAGGTGACAAAGACTCACATTACTGTTTGCACATATTAACAACTATGGAGGTAATAAATAAGATTCCTCACTTAGGAAAACAAAAAGAAAATACCAAAGAAATATATACACTAGTTTCCCTTTATCCGCAGTTTCACTTTCCACCATTTCATTACCTGTAGTCAACCATGGTCCAAAAATATTAAATGGAAAATTCCAGAAATAATTCATAAGGTTTAAACTGCACACTCTTCTGAGTATGTGATGAAATGTCATGCCAACTGGCTCCGTCCCACCCAGGATGTGAAGCATTCCTTTGTCCAGCATATCCACACTGTAAACACTACCCACCATTAGTCACTTAGCAGCTGTCTCAGTTAACAGTTGACTGTCATGGTATCACAGTGCTTGTGTTCAAGTAACCCTTGTTTTACTTAATAAAGCACAAGAGTAGTGATGCTAGCAATTCTGATACGCCGAAGAGAAGCCATAAAATGCTTCCTCTAAGGGAAAACGTGAAAGTTCTCAACTCAGTAAGGCATTTTATCACCTCATAGCTTCACGATAAGAAGGGTGAGTACAGTACAATAAGATATTTTGAGAAATAGAGATCACATTCACATAAATTTTATTACAGCATATTGTTATAATTATAACTAATTTATTATTGTTGTTAATTTCTTGCTGTACCTAACTTATAAATTAAACTTTATCATATGAGGTCGGACAATTAAGTTTGAGAACTCATTCTAGAAAAAGTATTACATACCTCACTGCCGAATATCACTACAGTCCCCTTCGAAGTACTCCCCTTGGGAAACTATGCACTGACGCCAGCACCTAGTCCACCCTTCAAAGCAATTTTGAAACTCTTTTTTTGGAATGGCCATCACAGCTGTAGTCATATTATGCTTGATGTCCTAAATGTCATCAAAATGTCTTCCTTTCAATATTTCCTTTATCTGCGGGTAAAGAAAGAAGTCACTGGGGGCCAGATCAGGTGAGTAGGAAGGGTGTTCCAATACAGTTATTTGTTTATTGGCTAAAAACTCCCTCACAGACAGTGCCATGTGAGCTGGTGCATTGTCGTGATACAAGAGCCATGAATTGTTGGCAAAAAGTTCGGGTTGTCTAACTTTTTCAAACAGCCTTTTCAGTACTTCCAAATAGTATACTTGTTTGTCCAGTTGGTACAAATTCATAATGAATAATCCCTATGATATCAAAAATGGTTAGCAACATCGTTGCAACAAGTTCACGAACTTAATTATCCGATCTCATGGATATGCATGCATAGCAGAAAACATAGTATATATAGGGTTCAGTACTATCTGCAGTTTCAGGAATCCCTTGGGGACCTAGGAACATAACCCCACAGATAATATGTGGGAGTACAGTAATATGGTTTTTATAAATTATTTTCTAATATGATTTTCATGAATGCAGAATCTTCTGTATACATATTATGTACTTACATTTCCATTGTTTAGAGTCCACAGAAGCACAACTGGTATTACTCTTGACATCTGGAGATTTTTAATGGTGCACTAACTATCATTTTACAGTTTATCACTCAGCCATACACATAACATATGTGATATGTGGCATTTCTCCTTGTACACAGACTTTTCTCTCTCTAATGCACAGCAGAAGTACAACACGGCTAAAGTCAGGAGACCCAGTGGAGAGTTAAATGAGCTATAAATGAAATTTTGAAAACACCAACCTCTGGATGATCTATATACGGTATTTCCTTAAAATGGGGATGGGAGTGAAAGAAGGAAATAAGTTCCAATTTTTTTTCTAGTATTCATACGAACAAAACACACAACCAGAAAGATTTCCTCTTTTATCTTTTCACAGTCTTTTTATGCAAATCTACATGCTAATTGATTCTTTCAACTACAGTTTACTCTTAAACAACCGTGGATTTGAACTCACCTGGCCCACTTATACAGGGATTTTTTTTCAAAAAATACCTGTACTGTATCCATCCATGGCTGGGGAGTCTGAGGATGCAGATGGCCACCTGTATGCATTAGTCTACCTGTACCATTTTATATTGGGGGACTTGAGCATCCACTGATTTGGGTATCTGTTGCGGGGAGTAGGGGGCGGTCCTGGAAGTAATCCCCTGCGGATACCAAAAAACAACTAAGTTTTAGCGAAGTTAAAATTTACAGAGGATTTTTTACTGCATGGAGATCTGCACCCCTAAACCCCTGTGTTGTTCAACAGTTAATTATACTGGCACATACCACCTTTGATTTCATCTTTTCTAAAGAAAAACATCAAATCCATTCATTTAAGCCTGTTAAGCTGGATGGCAATGATGCATTATTCGCCTTGGAACCATGTTGCAAGGGCAACTTCAATATCAAGTGGCTTATTACTGTCTCTCAGCTGGAGGACAATTCCAAATACAATCACCCTGCAAGGCAACTTGGGGGAAAAATTTTTTTTAAAAATTGAGTGAGAAACCATACAATATGCCAGAATTCTAACCATTAAAACAAAGCTGCGGAGAGAACAACCAGCGCAGCCCTAAAGATAAGGAGTGTTGGTTGCAGGGGATATTCAAGGTTGGTCTGATGGTAACATTAGTGGTATGCTGGTAAATGTTTCACAACCAGCTCTTAGGGAGAAAAAGCCATATTTTGTAACATTCGCAATTTCTCTGGTGTAAATACACCCAGAAGACTGATTTCAAGCTACCCAAGTGACATTACTGAATAAGAAGTTAAGAAGAAAACTCATGATAGCAACCATTGTATATAGTATTTCAGATACAATAGAGGTAAATAACTTCAACAGCATAAATTATAGTAAAATGTAGTGAAATAACTAGACCATGGTGATTTTTGAGCATTATTTTTGTTTTTAACATAGTTAATTTAATTGTAAGTTTATATAATGTAATTTTTAATAATGGTTGCATTTAACAACTGGTTTGCAAAATTCGTGAAACTTTAAAGATGAGCTCTAATGAGCAGGTAACATTTGCTCCAGCACAACACTGCAGGCTGCTCTTCAGGGACATTAAAAATATTTTGAACAAAGACAAACCAAATAAATGAAGTTACTAAGTCATCTGGGTCAAACTATCTCCAATTTCCAAAGGTACCAAACTCTTTGCTACCCGACTTTAGAAGTACTCAAAGTTCAGGTTACACCGTGCATAGCATCTATAGGAATGCCATTAAATTACAATACCTGACATTTTTATCACACATTACACTTTTCAAAGCAGAGCTCTTATGGAACGGTGGAACAGTATGACCCTGCATAATGAATTTAAATCGGTCGGTAATAGCATTTTAGTGCCTAGTAGATGAAAAAGAGGAGTCCTGAGAGCTGATCATCTAAGAGCAAGGCCGGGGAATGGAGCTGGAAGTAACGAAAGGAAGCTGAAGGCTGATCAGGTTCTATATTCCCTCCCGGAAACAGCTCCATCAAAATGCAAGCAGGTGTACAGAGTACTGGGCTTTTCTTCCTCTCTCCTGTTTTCTAACTCTAACTTTACATTTTTTACTAGATCAGTTTTTTCTGATGGAAAAAAAAAATGTTGGATGGGGTATGCTCTAAGAGTCCTTTCAAAAATCTAAAATTATTCTCTTATGTGACAGAGCAGCTTTGCAATGTTTTTCTCCCCATCCAAACATGTTACTGCAGACACTTGTGTATAGAGTCTATGTGGATTTTACCGGTGCAACTGGCAACAGCAGTAGTCGTGGCCGAGTGGTTAAGGCGATGGACTAGAAATCCATTGGGGTCTCCCCGCGCAGGTTCGAATCCTGCCGACTACGGGAAGCCGAAATTTTGCGGGTACCTGTTCTCATTTTGTAGTTTTAAGGTTTTCCACAGATCACTTAAGGAATTTACAAACGGTACAATACAAAGAGACCCCAATGAAGCCGGAAGAGGAGTGATGGGGGAGTTAGGGAGTAGTGTGATTGTAGTTACAACCAGAAGGGGGAGATGGGACCAAAAAGCGTCTAACAACCTGGAACGAAGAAAAGCGAAGCGTCCTGAGGTCGCGCAGGAAGAAACAGCTCCGACCTCCAGCCCCGCGAGGACCCTGGCGCCACCAGACCTCGGGGACCCACAGTGTCCTTTTGTGCGAGCGTTGTCGGCGCAAAGCCCTCACCAACGCCAGGGCCGCCGGCACGGGAAGGCACGCGCATGCGCAGGGGTGGGCGCGGCCGAGGGCGCGCGCGGCGGGTTCACGCGTTGCGCCCTGGAAACTGGAGCCGGGAAAGACGTAACGACTCAAGATGGCGAAGGGTTTGGACGAGCTCTTGGATGAGGTCGAGTCCAAGTTTTGCAGCCCGGACCCACTGAGCCTGGACAAGGTCGAGCGGCCCAGAGGCTGCGGCGGTGGCGGTGGCGGTGGCGGTGGCATCCTCAGCAACGACTGGAACCGAGGCGAGGCGAAAGAGAATCTCAGGTTAACGGGCGGGAGGGGTGGGCTGTTCTGGTCAAGCCTGCTCCAAGGCCTGAAGCCGCCCCTCCGCCCGCAGCCTCCAGCTCTTCCCCGTTAAGGCACAGACCCTCAGTTCCCCAGCCTCGGAGTCTCGCACACCTCAACTCCTTGTCCACGAGGACTCTGGCATCTCGCTTACCGAGGCCCGACCCCGCCCCCGGCAAGTCCCAGAGAGCTCACCACACAGCCCAGAAGGTCCTACAGGAGGTGAGGAGAGGGGTGCTGCTTAGGCGCCCTCTCCTGAGCCGCGAAGACGGCTCTGTTCACCCTGTGAGGTGCCGGTACAGAGAACCTCAACCCATCGTCTCTGACCCCATCCCCGAAATAGAATAATCCCTGGACCAACTGTTGAAGTAAACGATTCTGTTGTATTGTCATCATTCGCTAATTTTTGTTGTTCTTTTGGTTTTTTAAAGTTTATTGGGGTGACAATTGCTAGCAAAGTTACGTAGATTTAAGGTGTACAGTTCTGTAATACAGGTATATCACGTTGTGTGTTCACCACCCAGAGTCAGTTCTCCTTCCATCACCATGTATTTGATCTCCCTTAGCCTCCCTCATCTACCACTCCCCGCCCCCGTTTTTCTTTAGCTCAAAGAATTGGGGGAAATTTCTTAAGTCTTTTGGGTTTTGATCCGAAAAAATTACCGTTCAAATTTGTCAGTCTTTTTGCTACTGTAGTTATAATAGGACTTCTTTGTCTCATTTCTCCCCACAATCCCAAAATTAAAAAAAAAAAAACAGAATTTCGCGTCATAATGAGAATTGCCCTTCAAAGTGATAACTTGGAACCTCTGCAGTAACTCTCCCTAGAACCTGTTGGAAACGTTTGTGGAAAGGCATTCTTGTTAATTTATGGCTACATCTGTGGTTTTTGTTTTGGTGTGCATGTGTATGATTTCCCAGAAATATTACTCAACTTTGTTACCCAATTTACCAGACTTACCTCTAATGACGTTTATTTGTTTACAAAAATTCACTCTCAGAAGATAAATACATTGAAAAGATTCTAAAGTTCAGAAACAAGTTCTAAAAATTAGTTGAGTACTGGGCACCGTTCTAAAAAAATAAATGTAGAGCCAAGTAAAATACCTACTTTGAATGGGCTAATGTTCACTTGATGGGATGTTTATGCAAATATCACTCATTAGTTTGTATATTAGTATCTTGTATGCCGGATGCCCTTAAGTACTCATTCCCAGCACATCTACTATCAGTATCCCACAGCAGTGTCACCTTGCGATTTCTTTTACCCTTTTTGTTTGTTCCTTTAGGGAATGGAGACAGTTTATCAAAGAGCCTTCCGGAGCCTGTTCATCTTAGGAGAACTAGTGTGCAGAGGGTTAGGATATCTTCCATCAGGCAGCTTAAAATGGAAAGGGCTGCTAAGATGGATCCTCTCCAAGCACAGGTCCTTTTATGCCTCTCTCCATAGCCTGTTACTGTACTACTAAAATCCATCCGTAATGCTTCTAGCACCCCATCCCACCTAACTACGTCAGATTTTTCAGTAATACACTTATGAAAGTTGTAGCAAACCAGTACTGTTGTCATGTGTTATAATTTTGCGTTTGGCAATGTAGTTGTAAAGATAAATTATGCAAAAAACAGCAACAAAGACCCTAAACCTAATACCAAATACAGTCCCCACCTGGTATATAATGTCAAACATTAAAATTTTGTCCTGAGCCAAAGTTGATATTTAAAAGTAACAAACCTAATTATGTTATGAATTTATTAGCAGGTGACTAACTGCTGATTATTGTATAGCAATGTAGCCTGTATCTTTTCCTTATAAGAGTTAAAATACTGAAATTGTCTCTTAAAATGATAGATCTGCAAATAATAAAATAAATGACCATGTACATCTGGATACCAGGAACAATTGATAATGTAAGTGGTCAAAACATATGCAATTTTTTGAAGTGTTCAAAATGATAAAGAGAAATATGTGATTAATTTTTTAAAAGACTAAGCCAGGTTGAACTGCAATAGTAATAAAGAGGTTCAGGATGATACAGATGAGAATATTTATAAATAATACCATAATCTCCTAGGTAATATCTATAATAATAGCTAACATTTATTGACTGCTTTGTATATGCTAAGTGCTTTATATATGGTATTTCATTTAATCTCCGCAACCCTATGAGGTGAAATGTCATCCCGTTTAATTGAACAAACCAAGACTTAAAAAAGAGTTACTTGCCCACCGTCATATTTCCAATTCTATCAGAACATTGTAGATCTAGATTTAAGCTTTTATGTGTCTTCCACATTTAATTATGGGTTTCAAGTGTTTATATTTCTTTTATTTGGACTATACCTTTTATTTTTGACAAAAGCTATATATTATATAATAAAGATTAAACTATAAGAAACAAAGGTACAGATAGATAATGTTTATTAACCTTCGATTAAGATTATTATATTACAGTATCAAAAGACAAAAAAATAAAAATATATTACACTGCCCTTTAAAATTTGCATGAGTTCTCAATGAAATGATGGCTTTATTTTTTCATTTCTGTAGCAAAGCATAGACAAGTGTAGGCATCATGAAATTGTGTGATCTAGTAACAGACCAAAATCTTATGTAGGCTGTCAGTTTGGATCCCTAAAGGTACTGATTATGTTGGTAAAGTTTGAATGCATCTGATTCTTGAAATTGTGAAATTGCATGAGAAAGCAGAACCCAGAGACTATATCATGAAAACCAAAGGAGGGGAAAATTTCAAGACATCTTTAGCAACCTGCTGTCATAAAAGGTGTTAGTACCCAACAATGTCAGATGCTTCTAAAAGATTAAAAAGGATTGAAAATGAGAAAGGCCATTGAGTGTAGTGATTTGGTCAGTAGTGACCTTTGAGAAAAGAGTTTCACTATAGTTGAGGGCTGTAGAGGCCAGAGATAAAATACTACACCTTCAAGAAGTTTTAAATACTTGTCTAGATCTCCTTTTTTACAAATAAAATGTTAGAGGTTCAGAGAGATTAAATAATTTAAACTAGGTCAGTAGTTCTCAACCAGTGATGATTTTACCACTCGAGGCATTTGGCAATTTCTTGACATTTTTGATTGTCACAGCTAGGGAAGGGTGTGCTACTGGCATCTGGTGGGTAGAAATCAGGGACATGGCAAAACACCCTACAGTGCACAGCAGCCTTTTTCTCCCCTCCACACACACCCCCCAAAGAATTATCTGGCCCTAAATGTCAATTGTTCCAAGGTTGACAAACCCTCATTCAGGTTACCAGCTGATGCTAAATCCAATATACTTGTAAGGAAGTAGAAATAATGAATATAAACTGCTCTTCAGGAATAAGAGAGGGTGGCATTTTTCAAGAGGGTTTTTTGGAGTGCTTCTTTGAAAAGCAAAGGCTTAAGCATACTTACAAGTCAGGGTAAGAAGTCAGTACAGAGTGGAAGACATTAAGGATAAAAGGGAGCAACTAAAGAGGCAAACCCTGGAAATAGGTGGAATCGCGTTCACTGTAAGGCAGCAGTCTCTGGATTTTCTTACATTAGATTAATTATCTTACTCACAAGTAGTAACAAGGGCTATATAAGCTAATGGTCCAGTAAAGTTATGAAGTTGATGTACGGCATCTGTAACGTAAACTCAAAAGAGTTTTATGTGTTAAGTGTACAGACTGCCTTAGATTCAATTCCAAGCCTCTCTCACTATTTGATGTTGAGTGAATTTCTGAATCTCTGTCTGTTTCTTCATTTATATAGTAAGCATTCAGTAAATGTTAGCTATTAAATAGAAGTTCCATGCACTAACAGTTTATCAATAAGCCTGCAATGGCTTTACCTGCAGAAGGTAGAAAGGTAGTTGAAATATTGTCAAGCAAATATTTCTCTTTTTTTTTTCTTGTATTGATCATTTGAGTATATAACCTTTGGCTCCTCTAGTAAAAAGATTTTATTATGTAACTTACAATGAAACCCTTAGGGAAAAAATTAGAAAGACATTAAAATTATCTTTGTTTATAATTCTCAGGTTCTACTTAAAATTGTACATATTTTGTATTCTTTAAATAAGTGGTTGATGTTAAAAAAAAGTACATGCCCAGCTTTCTCTTGAATATAATTTATAGCTTTAAATGTCTTAAGTATGTAATGATAAAGTACATATGTGAATTTGTAACTGATAAACTATATTTTTCTCTCAACAAACAGGTTATGTCCATAGCAGGAAAAAATTAATTAACATCACATTTATCCTTCTATTACCAACTCTTAATAGACAGAATTTAAACAGAATTCTTCTGATACTGCCTGACTCTATCTGCTCTTAAGCTTCAGCTGTTTTGTTTTTCAGATCAACAGAAACGTTTAAAAAAGAAGATGATCTTGACAGTCTTATTAATGAAATATTTGAAGAGCCCAACTTTGATAAAAAACCCTTTGTAAGTCAAGTGTTATAAATGTGCAATGATTTTTTTCATTATTTCAATACATGTTTAGAATAGCCTGAAAACTTATGAAATGCACAAGTATCTATAGTCCTTTGCATTCTGAGAAATACAGTCATCTAAATAAATTATTCCACTTAGAGTTGTAGAAGAAATAAAATACTAGAAACTCTCAATATGTGTTTGGTTATTCATTTCTCAGCAAGAATGTGAAATTAGAAAAGCTGTTAGAACAAATATCAACTCATAGTTGAAGTTGGTTACCTATATTTATTTGTAGACTCTAAGAACACTTTTATAAAAGACCAACAACAGTTTTCATTATAGGAATATGCTTAGCATCTCAGATGCAATGTCATGGCCGTTATCCCATGAACCATGAGTAAATTGTTAACATTTTAATTTTTAAATGCTTGTGTATGAATATCAACTTTATAAAAAGCTCATAAAATAATATAACAGACACCTATATATATGTTTACCACTCATGCTGAACATATATTAATGTTTTGCCATGTTTGCTTCTCTGGATTTTTTTAAAGAAATAAAAATTATAGCTTAAGAATTCCCCAAATCCTACTCTACTGCCTTCCTTCCCAGAGGTAATCACTGTTCTTTCTAGCCATACTTTTATACTTTTATTACGTATGTATGTAAACATAAACAATTTTCATTGATATATAATAGCTCTTATGTAACTCTACCGCAGTTTATTTATCCAGTTCCCTGGTGATGGACATTTAGATTGTGCCCAGTTGTTGCTCTTAAAAACAATGCTTCTTCAGATATCTTTAGATGTCTTCTTTTGCCCATGCACAGGAGTTTCTCTAGGATGTATAAACTTGAAGAGGAATTGCTAGGTTATAAGGTGTGCTCATTTTCAACTTTTCTACCCATTGCCAAAGTGTTTTCCAAAGTGCTGTATCATTTATATTCTTACCAGCAGTGTATGAGAATTTATATACTTTGATTTTTACCATTTTGGTGATTGCAAAATATATTTGTTAGATTTAAAATAAAGACCAAATGGGAGTCTAAATTACAAGGACCACAAAGAAAAAAAATCTAAGAAATAAATATAATACCAAAGGTTTTGTTAAAGGGAGGGAAAGTTAAAACAACACAGTGGACTGAAAATCACTAGGCAGTGATGGTGGTAAGGATATGGATGTGGGCCATCTATGTTTTTGTGAGACAGATGAAAAATAAAATGACTAGTATAGATCTTAAGATCTTTATGTCTCTAAATTTAACATTTTTAATTCATCTGAGGTAAATTAATAAGCTGATGGACTAGTTGACAGGTTAAGTCAACACAATAGCAATGGTGTTGAATACTCTGCAGACAAGAATGCATCATGAATGCTGAATAGCAATGCTAATTTAATAGAACAACTACATGATGTGATACATTGATCATTTGAGCAATTATTAAGTACTACAGGGTGCATATCTGTACGTGGGGCACTGTCTTCGGTTTAAAGCATTTCAGCAGAAGGAACTACTCTGGCTTGGCTTTTAGATACTCAGATTTGAAATAGAAGTAACTGCTACAATCATGAAGAAATAAACTTTTGTGTACTTTTTCTATATGCTCCTTTTTTCAGTTATATCCAATTTTACAGCCTGCAAGGGAGAAAGCAACCCAAATAAACTTCTTAAGGAGAACAGGTCTTTGTAAAACATTGATTGGATGAGGAAAAGTGTCTGTGAATGGCCGGTGCATGCCCACCTTGTCTTCAGAGGCCACATCATGCTCCTAAGAGTACTGTTCCTTCCCCCAATGCTTGCCCACTCTGTTATGTTTCTGAACTGCTCTCAGACCCACACAGGGAAGCCCAGAAACACAATAAATATCACAGTATGCCAGCTTGAAGTCATAAGTGTGAGCCTGGATGGTATATGAAACATGCTCCAAAAAATAGAAACTCATGCAATTATTATTTTTCAGACATGCACCCAAAGTTTTTCCAGTTCTGTTTAACATCAAATAAGAGTTAAGAGAAATAGTAAAATGAAATATTTTTGCCTCCTTAAATTTCGTTACTTACTAGGTAGAATGAAGGCATGTCTCTGCATAGTTTAAATTGCCTTTTCTCCATCTCACTTCCCCTCTGGCGGTGGTCCTAGTATGTGGGTTGGTTTATGTTGTTTGGTACCATATACCAGTTAACACTTAATAAATGCCTGCTAATGATGATATGTAACCATATAGGAACTACTGTGTTGTTGTGATTATATAGCTACATTTTCCTTGAATGCCTATTGGTTGATACCTTCCCATTGGATCAAAATTAATATTCCTGAAGTTACCCAGGAGTTTGGTTAGTTTATTTTTAGTTCAGGTGAGTACCATTCACAGCCTTTAAAAATGAGTCAGGTTTTTTCCTCCTCAATTGAATTTTTCCAGGATAAAATTTTAAATAGAAGGTCCTTCATATTAAATCATTGAACTTTAGTATTAACTGAAGAGTTATAAAGTGACCCTAATATTAGCATGCTAATAATGGCAGTATATCAATTTCCTAGACTAAAAGAGTAATTTGCAAATACCTCAGGGAAGCCTACTTCCCTTTTGCCTTTAAAAGGTTTTGATCATTGTTTTTATTTCAGAAACTTAAAAGTGATAACAAAATTTTTGTCATTTAAAAAATATTCTTGTTATAAAGAATATTAGTTTTCATGTTACAATTATCTAAGTTATTCTTGGCCTTTTATTTTGTTTTTTTAACAGAAATTAAAATCTAAATCTTCAGGTAACACATCTGTCAGAGCTTCCATTCAAGGCCTTGGTAAAAGGTAAGCTGAGATTGCTCTGGTGAATTATACACACTAGTGAGCAAACACTATGAGCATAGTCTAGTTGATTTTATTAACATTTAAACAACAGTGACATTTCACAACAAAGCACTGGTTGGCTTTCAGGAGAAAGACCAATAGCAATATCTTTAATATTCTTATGGTCTATGACCTCTTAGTGTAAAGGAACTTGAACGGGAGATTATTGCTATTGTAAATTTTCTGCCATGTAAAGAAAAAAAAAAGGTAAATGAACAGTTTCTCAAAATTAATGTTCTGTTATATTCTTCAGTATTTACTTTGTCCCTTACATTGTTTGGCAAACACATTTTTCTGTGACTCATTTTAACTCCTTGAGTGTTCCTAAGTATACTGGTTATATCTAATAAAACAGTGATTCTGGAATAAATACCTGTTTAAAATAGTTGGCTTGCTCAGGAAAATATACAATTTGATTACAAAACTATAGAGTCAATGAGGCCAAATTAACTTCTCATATTTCTTTCTTGTTATTTTATTTTTCTCCCATCTGTTGAACATGTCTAGTTGCAGCCCAGTGTACCTTGGTGGAAGCACTGCTCCATGTGGGGTTGGAACAACTACTTCACAGAGGTAGGATGTCAGAAATATACTTTCTGGTTAGGTTTTTCCAAATTGATACCCTGTTATATACATTTTACTGTAGTTCTTATCATTTTGGCCTTAATCTGTTTCATAATGAAAGGAATATTTTATTAGCCAACCCAAGAACACTTTATGGAAATGTTTGTTACTCTTGGGCAATAGCTATTTAAAGCTATGATGTTGGGTATGTGTTGTTCGTTATGTTGACGCCCTTTTCTAAGCCCCACTTGAAGTGCCTGGATCATTCCAGTCCCAGCTTGGTTTCTACAGGACACCAGGAGAATAAGCTGCTACTTGGCCATTTTTCCTTCCAGGTGGTGGAAGCCAGTGGCTAAGACAGGTAAAACAGTGTGGCCTTGCAGCTACATGATATGTTACCCACACTGATTTGGCCAAACAGCATGAAAAGTTGCAGATCTGTGGTACCCAAATAGTTGCTTGCTTTTACGTATTTAAAAACCAGAACCTTCCTTTCTTTATCCCTTCCCCACCACTTCTTATACTGACTGTCTCACTCAGTACGTCTTTCAAGGCCATCTTATGGCCCTGACGCCACCTATCCCAAGCTCATATTGACCTCGTGCTTCTAGCATATTGCATTCTCATTGTCATGTAATGGGGAAACAGATCGGTTTTAAGCAAATCTTTCTGTTGTCCTGGTACTTTTGGTTCTATCTTTGCAGAGGCCTACTTACTTAGGTTATTATTTTTTTGTCTAGTTATTTCTAAAACACTTCCTATTTTCTGATAATTTTGGGGGGGAAAGAAAAGACTTAAGATATATGATTGCATTGACCACATTTCAGGAGGGATAACTGTTACATTGAATAATAGAAGTAGGATCTAAAAAGACATAGTTGGAGAGTTGTGGTTGTGCTGGCCTAGATCCTAGGAAGCCTGGAAAGAAGGACTGTAGGAACAAAAGGAAATGGGGAGTCTGGGGAAGCCTGTACCAGGAACACCAGGCAGCAGACAGGCTAATAGCAGTCCACTGGGTGCTGCCTGCTATACAGGTTGTAAAAATTGATAGCACATGAATCATCATGCGTTGAGGACTGTCTATACAGAGAATCAGAGGTACAAACTGCCCTTAAAGAAGAATGTAGTCTGGTTGCTGCTGATCCTGACTTACCTGTGTCAACTCAGTAGGACTGTCTTAGTCATTTCCATTTCCAAGAAAATGATTGTTATATTTCAGCAGTAGGAATCCTATATTCTGCTACTACTTTTCCATTTTATCTCAGAATTTATGTATCAGTGTTTACTTACAGGTGTCTTCTGATTTTCAAAATGGTCTTTAAGATAATACATTCTGTTTTACTCCCAGAACGTCAATATTTCATTAAGATTTTCTTTTACACAGTATTTTTTACATGTTCCTTGATTTAGTTCGAGTATAGCAGAGTCTTGTTCCAGATGAAATTTCAGTAGACAAAAGAATGGCCTGTTTTTCAGGTCAAGGGTCCTGTTATATGATATTGACCCATGTGAATACCAAAATCCATCAAACCCCATTCCTACTTTTTGCACAGCTACAAGAGCAGAAAATATATACCATTTGCATATAGATGCACAAGTAAATGTTTGCATTCATAGATCTTTTCCTCACCTATTACAAAGATACCAGTCATTGACCACCATTTTCATGACACAGATTCTACACCCACAGAAAGATAAGCACATACCTGTTCATGTGCATATAAAACATTTTATGTGTGAAGTGCTTTATACTGTCCAGAGCGCTTTTGAATATACGCATATTGGTTCAAGTGCTTCACAGAAGAAGAAAAAAAAAGATGGAGATAAAGCAAGAATTTTTAACCCCATTTTGTAAATGAGGAAATTGGTATTAAACTCATCAAACACATATGAATTAACCACCTGCTTGCTAGGTCATAAGTTTTGAGTAAACACACAAATAAATGAACACTTCCTTGTCCTCGAGCTTTCAACCTCAAGGAGGAGAGAGACTAAACAGATAATTCTACAGATAAGTATTTAACTTCCACATAATATGTAATGTGAAGGGAAAGTACTATAAACATAGATAATTGGCACCCTAATGTGAAGGGTTAGAGAATGCTTTCCTCAACAAGTAACATTTAATCACATTACAATATGAAAAATGAGTAGGAGTTAAGCAAAGAGAGAGGACCGTAGGAGCCAGAGTGTATGCCATGTTAGGTGATCTCTAGCTGGGAAGGAGTGTTGGAAGAGCAGAAAGCATCCAGGTGAGCTGGAGCGTAATGTGTGGGGAAAAGAATGGCTCCTGATGGGGCCAGAGAGGTAGTAGAGGGACATTTGGTTGGAAATCCTGTAGTCCTATGGAGGATTTTTTAAAAAGTATGTCATATATGCAGTGGAAGCCATTGGTGGTTTATTTGTTTGTTTTTAGCTGATGAAGTGACCTAATCACATTTGTGTTTCTAAAGAAAGTCATTTTGACTGGTGAATGGAAAATGGATTGGAAGTTAGAGGGGCAAGATAGGAGAGGACCCAGGGAGATGAGAAGACAATAGTTATAATGGTCCAGGAAAGAGATGATAATAGTAGCTGTGATCTGAGTAGAGGCAGTGGCTGTAGGGAAAGGTGTCACATTTGAGCTTTTTAGAATCTAGAATTGACAGAATTCAGTGAATTAAATGGCTATGGGAGGTAAGAGAGAATGCTGTCAAGAATGATTCCTAAGTAATGTGCCTTGCCCGGGGTCACATTTATTATGACAAAGCAAGGATTCAAATATGTAACTTGATTCCTACTCCATTATGCTTTCTAGCATACCAGTTTGCAGAAGGCCATGTAATATAATGTGTGTAAGGGGAGAATCTTTGCTGTTTTTGCTGCTGCAGCTGCTGTGATTTTCCAGCTGTCCAAACAGTAAGATTACCCTAGTCCACTGTATAGATCTGACAGGAGTTAACTGAGAACCGCAGCGTACATAGGGTCTGGGCACAAGACTATATTGGGCTGGATTTGGGGCATTCCACCATAAACATCCTTAAAATAGTAAAGATTCTACTTATTAGCTGGACAAAGGGACAAAGCTGTTGGTGACACCTTCATATTCTATTCCCTCCATATTTTAGAGAAAGAAACCTGACAATTTATCTTTCATTGGAATCATGACTTTCAGATATGCTCTATATATACATAGTTATGTAAGAGAAATAGTTTTAAACCCTGAAAATAAGCGTGATTTAGATGCCGAGGGCACAAAGGAAATTGAGTCTATTCTGCCTATTATACATGTGTTTTATTTGTTTGATTTCTGGTTAGAGTTCTGCTTTGGGAGTAATGCTGAATGATTTTAGAGTGTAAAGATTTGAGTCTTTTACCCAGTTGGTAGAAAGGAGAAAGAGTAGTAGGAAACGTGTTGGCATTAATAAGGTATAGATAAAACCAAGGCATTATTTTCAAGCCAAATTGAATTTTACTTTCCTAAGTATTTTTTAAACTACTTGTAAGGCTGGATTATTCCATAGACTGGTACTAATTATGATCTAAGAGAGTGAATCGAGCAGCAGAATGATTTCTTAGCTGTAAGTTAGTTTTATTTTTCTCAAAGGGCAGTGTTTGTAGGAAAATGTGGTAGTGTGAATAGATTTGAATAAACTACTAAATTTTAAATTAAATTAAAAAGCTGTATTTAACATTATGGTTGAGATTTTACACATACAAAGTGTCAGGAAATTCAAAATTATAGTTCCCACAACAGCAATAATTCAGCCAAATTGCACATATGTATTAAGGCATTAAAGTTAACACTCTGTGCAATCATGTAATAAACTACATATGCATAAGAAAGCAAGTTATGGCAGCTTTGGGAACCATCATTTTGCATTTCCTGACTTATGCATTCAAAATTCAAGTTCAAATGTGTATGAATATAATTGTGCTGAATTTACATATGTATGATACAACTTCATAAATTGCTAAGTTTGAAAGAAAATATGGAATTGCTTATGAAACTTACATAGGTTTTGAATGTTTAGTTATTGTTATGATTAATAATAATTTTACAAATAAAAAGCATTTATTCCCAAAGGAAACTTTCAGCCAAAAAAATTGCAGTTTTCAAGTTACCATATCTGAATTTTAAGGGAAATACATGGGGGGGAAAAAACTCTAAGGATGGGTTTTATTTTATTATTTTTTAATTGCCGAAGGATTATATCCTCATTGAAAAAAGTAAAACCAAACTTTAAAAATGTGTAAAGATAAAGATAATCATCTCCTTCCCTCCCCTCCATTCCCACCATTCCTGAGACAACCAGTGTGAGCTGCATAGTATACGAGTATAACCTTCTGATTTTTTCTCCATGTTCTTACCTTATAAACACCTATATAGGAATTTTTATTTGGTTGCTTTTACCAAAGTAGGATCATGCTATATATGTTACTGTGCACCTTGCTTTGGACATCCCTCTAGGTCTGTGGATACATTAATTCTCTTTATCAGCTACCTAATATTCCATAATATAAATGTACTGCATGTTATTCAGCCTTTTTCGCTTTTTGGTAGATATCCAAGTGGTATCTTGTTTTTAGCCACTTCAGCAATACTGCAGTAGACATTCTTGAGATATGTGCTTATATTGGTACTTTTAGTTACGTATATGCAATAACTTCCTCAAAATGGGATTGCTAATGCAACAGCCAGGGATAATTTTAACTTTAAAATAATGCCAAGATTTTTCCCCAAAGGTTATAGCGATTCACATACCCACCAGAAATGTCTGAGAGTTCTAATTTTTGCTAACTTAATTGGTAAAAAAATTTTTTCGTGGTTGCTTTAAATTTTAATTATTTATATTTTACCTTTTAACAAACACTATGTGCCAGGTACTGTTATAAACACTTCATCAATATTAACTCATTGGGTTCTCATAATAATTATTCTATGAGATATGTAAGTATTATTAGTATCCCCATTTTACACATAGGGAAACTGAGTCACAGAGAATTTAAATTACTGGACTACAACTAAACAGTTAGTAAATAATGGAATCAGTTGAAGATAG